CAGGAAGCTCTCCACACACTCACCGGACCTGGGCTAGGACTGGGTGTTTTTTATTTTTTAATTAATGCATTATTATTACTTTTATCTTTTTGAGACAGGGTCTCGTTTTATAGCTCAGGCTTGGTTTTATAGAAACCCAAGGTGATCTCGAAATCCACCCATCCTCCTGCCTCAGCCTTCTGAGTGCTGGGATTACAGATGTGATCCACCACATCCAGCCAAGTAATAAGTTCTAAAAAGTTTTGGTTGTTCTGTTTATGACATAGGACTTTATTCTTCTGAAGTCTTGTCCATATTTAGAATTGTAGTACTGATTGCCTCACAGAATAAATTAAGACTTATACTTCATGAAAGTATGTTTTAGGACATGGTTGTAGAGAACTGATGAGATTTCTTCCTGTAATGCTTGGAAGAATTCAATCCATTCCATTGATGTATCTGGGCCTATAATTTTTGTTCTTGACATTATTGGAAGTGATATAATGTCTTTAATAAGCACAGACCTATTATCAGAATGTTCCTGTGAGGACTTTGATGAATTTGTCTTTAAGGGAATTTGTCTATTCCAAGTTAGTGCTATGTGAGTTTTGACATTATAGTTTTTTTATCCTTTTAATATATAAGGATCCACAGTGATGGTATCTCCTACAATTCTTTTCCAGATTAACTGTGTGTTATAGTGATTTCTTGCCTGTTGAATATGCAAGTGTTTGTATAGTGGATGTTGCATTGTCTAACTTAAATGCTGACATCATTTATTTCTCTTTGCAGATGTATCCATATTTGTGCCCAGTATTTTGAAATTTGCACAGTGTATGGACCTTGAGGAAAATCATACCTCTATTAAATATTGAACCTCTTATTATTCAGTGGTTGTATTTGTATAGACAATTTGTATTCCTTTGCAATTTTCTTTGACTCGCTTTAATATAGTTTTCTAGCATTCTCTTGATTTGCGTTAATATGGTATATAATTTTGCATCTCCATGTTTGATGTGAGTTCTGGATTACACAGGTTATTTTGTCATCTACTTTGAACATATTTGAGTTGTACTTGTAGTATCAAAATCACTGACTTTGGAGGTTTTATTGCTACAGTTCAATAAATATCTACCATCTTAACTACTGCTTAATGTTCATTTGTTTTTCTGTGTTTTTTTCTTCATTCTGTATTTTTTCTTTGATTCTCTGTCTTTAAATATGTTATTTTTTATTTATTAATTTTTAAAAAATCTTTTGTTAATTTTATTGCACACTTAAGGCCTGACTGTCATTTCTGAACTTCGTTTCAGGGAACCATGAAATTAAAGAGTCTAAACAAGAACATGAATTGCTGACCCCCAGGTAACGATATATACATATCCAGGAACATGATTAGGATGAGTAAAATATGAAGAAGCTCCTAAGTGATCAAAACAAGAGTTACAAAGTAGCCATAGATTTTACATGCAAGTGTAGAAAAACCTTCCAGGGCTGGGGAGACAGTTCGGTAGAACTCAAGCATAAGGGCCTGAGTTCAATCCCCAGTTCCGCCAAAAATAAAAATAAAAAGATAAACCTGCCAGTGTGACAACGCACTCTCACCCAATGAAATGCCTCTTTTAAAAAGGTGCCCATTGTCCCTGAAATACTAATGTGCACTGGAGTGGAATAAATCACCTCACAGTTATATGAAAATCCCAGAATCTGCACTCCTTTTTTGTATGGTTGAGATTAGGATGCAATGCCTGTTGGGTTATGTATGAGGGGTCACAGCATGCCCACAGGATTTTATAACAAGGAACCTAATCAGACTAAAAAATATCTATCATGTAGCAGTGTATGTATAGTCTTCAGATGCACAAGATCTCCTTGTCCCTCCAGTTTTTCAGAATTATTGCCCTTCTTGCCAGTTGTAAAACAATATTATTGGCAGGGTAGAGTCACTGCTGTGGCTTTTGTTTGCCCTGGTGTTATGGTTGTTTCCTGTAGCATGCTTCACCTCCTTTTCCATCAGCTCAATTTCAGTCATTGCGCTGTGCATTTGCTCCCTGTCCTGACCTCAGGCAGGAGGCTCCTGTGCAATAATTTCCCTTCTATTAGTAGGTGGTGCCCCCTACCTGATAGGACTACTCCTCTGCACCTCTGGGAGTTCCCCTGGGAATATTGTAGTGCATCCTCCTTGGTCTAACTGTATTCTTTATGTCACCAGGATGAAGCCTGAGGGTACAGAAAAGGATAAAGATGAGCCAATCCTGCAGGCTTCATTTGAAGAGGACCCCAAATCTTCCTCCCAGGGCTGCGACCAGGGGAGCATCCTGGAGCCTCTTGGTGATCTGACTAATGATCGTTAACTATCCTTTTCTCTGGGTGAAACTTGTGAGTCCTCCCTTGTAAAGTGAATTGCCCTTATCAAGCCTTATTTGTTTGTATCCAAAACAAAATTCAGTGTATTGAACATGGGAGAAGACAGAGTGGTGATGCTGCAGGGGTTGTATCTGTTTGCAGCCCCTGTGGTGCCTCTGCCTGATAGATCTGTACAAACTCAGTCTGTCAGGGTTGGATCCCTGATCCCCTGCATAGAACTGCAAATAATAGACCCAGTATTGTGAACTTTCAACAATAGTGACTGTCCCAAAATATTTTTCTTATGCATATTATCCTTGTAGACATTATTATCAGGGTTCCTCACATCCATGTCACCAGATCGTTCTCTTCCAAATTGTCTTACCATTTCTAAGGTATAATCTTATTGTAGAATTTAAACACTTGTTGACTGTGTCTGACTTTAATCTTTAAGGCATGCCAGCCTTTCCAGTTTTTTATGTTGTTTTGTTTTGGTTTTTCTTTTTCTTTTTCTTTCTTTCTTTTTTTTGAGACAGAGTCCCCCAGTGTACTCCAGGCAGGGTGTGCAGCACTATGGCACTTCTCCTGGTCTGGAACTCACATTGATGTTCCTGTCTCATCCTTCTGAGTACTGAGATTACAGGTGTCCAGCACTGTTCCCAGGAGCACCTGACATTTGCAGCTGTTGAATGCAAAGTACTCTCTGAATAGTATTAAAGGTCCTTTTTTATGAGGCTCTAGTGAATCCATCTGTCGGTTTATGCTCAGTGAATTACTGCTACTTTATAGCTGAGAACCAGCATACCTAATGGAGCACTTCAGGCTTGTAGACATTTTTCTATAAAGCAGTGAATTATCTTGAATGATTATTACATTTATTACAAATTGCATAGTGATATTAACTGAACAGATTAGGGAGAGAGCTGGCCAAGTGCTGAGCAAAGAAAGCCATCTAATATTTTCAGTAGGAGGCAGCAGATTGCCTCTGATAGTGTCCTGTCCTCATTCTGAGAGCCCCTATATCTCTGTGTCTGACTTTTTTCAGTGTGTATGGCGGAGCAGCTGAGGTTCTGTTGTTATCCTCTGTGTCTGTATATATTTGCAGATCCTCAGGAAGCTGGATCTGAAGACAAGAAAGCGGAGCTCATATTACCCAGGTGAATATGAACATCGTAGGCTGTGAATCAATGGTGACTTGTGGAGATCTGAGGTCCCTGAATAGCAGACATTGCTGCTATTAGTGTTTATGCTTTTTTGACAATGAGGAACAGGGTCTGTTTGTTTGGTACTGAAGTCACTGGGTTTGTGCTCTTTTTTTTCTTTTCTTTTCATGTATTGTAACTCAGAGTCCTTTTTGCCTCAGAAACTCTTTGTAAAATGAGACCCGCCAATAATGCGGAACCCAATGCATTGGGGTTGTAACCACAGGTCCTTCTCTTATGTCCCTGCCACACTGCATCCTACCAGGACTGTGGAGTCTTCCTCTCATCTGCAAGTCCTCACCCCAATGCACGGAGCACCTCCTGCTCTCTTGCCCATCCCCTGTGCTGCCCTCACTGCTGTCTCAGTCATACACTGTTGTACTCAGAGGTTATCATGTTCCTTCTCTTTGAAGCAATGTCTGCTCTTTTGAGGTTGCCTCCTATTCAGCCTTCCTGTCTGAAACAGGGACATTGTGCTGGCCAATCCTTTATTGTGTATCTCTTGTTTTCCATACAGGGATCTTCCAAACCATAAGGATGAAGGTAATGTGCGGCAGGACAAAATTTACAACAGCTTGTTGGGTGTTTCCCAATGCCAGCCATTATGTGACTCCCAGCAGCCTGGCAAGAGTTCAGCATCCATGACAGAAGAGGATGTGGTTCCCTACAATTGGAATGTGGCAAGTGAGTCAGCCACTGAACAAAGAATAAGGGTCTGGGTGGTCTCCTCCACTGTCTCTATACCTTTATTCTCAGCCTTCTCTGTGGGTAAGGATATTTTTCTTTTAACTGTCTTTCTTTTTTTATTTTTTAATTAACTTTATTGAGAAACAAATATCAATGAGACAGTTTCAAAAGAGGTTAGCAGGACAGTTACAATAATTATTACATTGCATATTGTTGTCTTCATAGTAGTTATTCATAGTACAAGATGCAGTCATTATATCCTTCCCAAACACTATTAGTACAAATCTTTCATCTCATTGACCTTTCCTTTTTGTGTTATTCTTGTTTGCATCATTTTGGGTTTTTTTCCATAATTTTATTGAGAAACAAATAACAATGAGATTGTTTCAAATCAAATTAGTAGGACAGTTTCAATAATTGATGCATTGCACATTGTTTTCTTATTGATTATGCATTGTACAAGATGGAAACATGATATCTTGTTTACAAACACTTTTAGAACAAATCTTTCTATTCATTGAATTAAGAGAATGTAGCTGCATATCTATCCTATTTTTAATATACAGATACAAAATGGTCATTCATTTGTATCCCCTTTTTTTCTTTAATTTTGTCATTTAAATATTGTAGGTTAGATTTCTGGACTTACGTGTAAACATAAGAATTATATAAATATTTATGCTTATTTTTAAAATACATTCTAATTTTTAAATGTTTTTTCATCATTTTCTGTAGGGACTTAAAGTTCAACATATCAATACTTGATGAAAAATACCTGTTCCATGTTATACCTAAGATGTTTGATATTCAGAGAGATAGTGTGGTTAAGCTTAACAGCCTAGGTTGTATGGTAATAACAGTAAGCTTCTCTTCTGTACGGTTAACAACCTAAGTTTTCAGACGAAAATTAGAGAAAATGGAGGGTTGCAAGGAGAGCCAACCTTTTGACCCTAGCCTTCCAAGGTCAATTAAGACTCAGGACATATGAGAACTTGTACTGTTACATCATGTAACTCAGTAGTGTTCCAAATTTTCTGATCAAGGAGATTATGGGGCCAAAGAGGAAAGTGATCGATGATGCAGAGTGTACCTAAGGAGAGTCACATGGAGAGAAAACATTCTCTCAGTCTTTCACAGCGAGCACACTGGCCAAGCAATGGCCGTGACTCATCCACATGGCTGACACTGACAAAGGATTTACAATCTGAGGTACAGGATCACAGGATAAATCCTGAGGAGATTTCGCTGACCTTATCAGATCCAAAAGCTACAACTCTTGTTGCATAGGTCTTGCTTTACCTTGGTCTTAACCATCCAGCAGAAAAGTATAAAAATGAAGTATAGGAAGTAAAGCCATACTGTTATGTTGAGCTGTAGGGGACTCAGGTCAACAATTTCTGACACTGCCAGTCAAGTGGAAGACCTAATACTATTATGGACTACTGGACTCTTTTAGAATATTTTGCTGAGTTAACACACCTATAATATTCAAATGACGGCACTAAATAGATAAGGGGATACAGATGAATGTCCATTTTGTATCTGTGTATTCAAAATGGTTAGGATAGATATATAGTTGCATGCCCTTAATGAATAGATGGATTTGTTCTAATAATGTTTGTAAATGGGATATCATGTCCGCATCTTGTACAGCAATTAACCACTGGTAAGAATGTATGCAATGTGTTAATTATTGAAACTGTCCTACCAATTTGGTTTGAAACTGTCTCACTGTTATTTGTTCCTCAATAAAGTTATGGAAAAAATTTAAAAAATAAAAATAAATAAATATTATAGGTGTGTAAATTCAGGAAGATATTCCAAAATAATCCAGTAGTCCATAATAGTAGTGGGTTTTCTGAATGACTGCCAATGTCAGAAATTGTTGACTTGAGCTTTCTATAGCTCAGCTTAATCATATGGCTTTACTTTTTATACCTCATTTTTATACTTTTCCATTGGATGGTTAAGATCCAGATAAAGCAAGACCTATACAACAAGAATTGTAGCTTTTTTATCAGATAAGGTCAGTCAGATTCCCTCATAATTTATCCTGAAGCCCTGTACAGAAGTTTGTAGATCCTTTGTTAGTGTCAGCCATGTGGATGAGTCACGACCATTGCTTCACCAGTTTGATCTCTGTGAAAGCCTGAGAGAATGTTTTCTCTCCACGGGACCCTCCTTAGGCACACTATATCACCGATCACTTTCCTCTGTGGCCCCATAATCTCCTTGGTCAAAAAATTGAGAGTTCTTATATCTGCTTAATTTAATTTTGTTAATTTGTACCTTTCTAGGAATTTGTCCATTTCCTCTGTTTCTTTGATTCTGTGAGAATAGATTCTCAAAATAGGTATTGTAGATCTTGTGAATTTCCACAGGGTCTGTGGTGCTTTCATCCTTTTCATTCTTTATTGCTTTGAGGTTTTTCTTTCCTCTTTTGGATGAGGTTAGCTAGGAGCTTGCTTATCCAGCTGATTTAGTCTTTCAAAGAACTAGCTTTTTGATTCATTAATTCTGTATATTTTCTTTGTCTCAACTGAATTAATTTCTGCTCAAATCTTTATAATTTCCTCCTTCTTTGGGCTTTTATCATTTTTATCTCTTCCTCTTGTACTTTTCCCCTAACCAGTGTATAGTGGCATTCTTTATTTCATTTGATCATTCTTGGTTTGAAGTTCAGACATTCTGCGAACAGGATTGCTATCTCTGCTTTTTTCTGAGGTGCTGGGGCATGCACAATTGTTTTCCATTCTATGAATTTCAGCCTATGAATTTCTTTATGAGATAAATGTTTTTCTTGTGTACAGAATACTGTTGGATTTTGATTCCTAATCCACTCTTTCAGTCTATTACTTTTAATTAGTGAATTGAGTCCATTTACATTGATGGTTGTAATTGAGATGTATTGACGTATGATTGATATTTTATTTACTTCTTGTTGTATGCCTCTTTTTCTCATGTGTTTAATTGTTCACCCTTTTTGTCAGTTCTTTCCATTTTCATTTATGGACTTGTGGTCATTTTGGTCCCTCTCTAGAATATCATTTAGTAGTCTGTGTGGGGTTGGCTTTGTCATCTTGAATTTCTTTAGTTCTCCTTTGTCATGCACATATTTCACTTGTGCATCAAAATTGAAGGAGAATTTTGCAGGGTATAGCTGTCTGGGCTGGAATTGTTTTCTTGAAGGACTTTAAGAAGTTTAAGTACAAGAAGAGTTCCATGCTCTTCTGAACTTGGTGGTTTGTGAAGAGAAATCTGCCATTATTCTGATCGACTTTCCTTTAAATGTGATTTGTTTCTTTTCTCTTGCGGCTTTTAGTGTACTATTCTTGTGCTAGATTTCTGGAACCTTGATTATTATGTCTGGGTGTGTTTTTAATTGGATTTATGTTATTTGCAGTTGTATATGCTTTGGATACCTGAATGTCAGATTGTTTCCCACATTTGGGAAGATTTCTGCTATTACCTCAGCCCATATTCTATTTATATCATTTATATTGACTCCTTCTTTCTCATTGATGACTATTAGTCCTATGTTGTTTATTGTTGAATCATTTTGCAGATGTTGCATTATTTTTTCCTGCATACTAGTTGTTTTTTAGAGATCTTTTCTTGCCTTTTCACTAGCTGCAAGAGTGCTTTGGGTCCATATGGTGTTGTTCTTGATTCCCATCATAACTTAAAGGGAAACTTCACAATGTCTGGAACACTTGATGTTCTGGAAATGAAGGAGGAGGATGCCCTCAAGTTCCTTGCTTCAATAACCCACTTAGGTTGCACCAACCTGGATTTCCAGATGGAGCAGTATATCTATAAAAGGAAAAGTGATGGAATCTATACCGTAAGTGTAAAGCTGACTTGGGAGAAGCTCCTTCTGGCAGCTTGAGCCATTGTGGCCACTGAAAATCCTGCTGATGTCAGCATCTTATCCTCTTGGAACACCAGCCAGTGGGCTGTGCTGAAGTTTGCTGCTGCCACTGGGGCTACTCTTATCACTGGCCGCTTCATTCCTGGAACCTTCACTAACCAGATCCAGGCAGCCTTCCAAGAACCATGTCTCCTGGTGGTTACTGACCCCAGAGCTGAGCACCAACTCCTAATGGAGGCATCTTATGTCACTCTGCCAACCATTGCTCTGTGCAGCACAGATTCTCCTCTGCACTATGTGGATATTG